ATAATAATAATAATAATAATAATAATAATAATAATAATAATAATAATGATAATGATAATAATAATGACAATAATACAAATATACTAATTCAATTGAAAGATGGCGTAATCATTGTATACGGATGCGGTGTACATGTGAGCTTGTGTTACCATCTATATAATTTCGGCCAGAAATTTTTAACACTTAATTATTTATAAAACTCGCAGACAATATAACTGAATGATAAATAATTATATTGTCGAGTGCAGTGCTGTTGATACACACAAATTTAAAGCATTGTTGAAATAAATAGATCTGAAAGATCACTCGTACCAGGACTCGAAAACGTCAAAAAAACAAAACATATTTATATAAATGCATATATTCATATACATCATATATGTACGAATATAAATGTATACATATATATATATATATTATTTGCGCTTTATCTCGTTTCATAAACAGATAGCTAGAAAATATAGAAATGAATGTTTTGGAAACGAATGCTTGCTTGATTTGTGTGTAATCAAAAATAATTGGATAAATATATGATCGAATCAATCGATAAATATACACTTTAGCAGCTCTTAGTGTATATTGTGAATCGAATGTAGTATTGAGCAAAGGACTTTATTTACACAAAGTTTTCAGTTTTCAGTGCAGCGCAGTTGTTATGGGCGAATTATATATAGTAATTCGAATTGATCTTATGTGTGTACAATAGAGAGAAAGAAAGAGAGAGATTAAGAGAAAGAGACACAAACGCATATATGAACGTAACTAACTGTTGGTCAGGGAGTCGATCGCAGAGTGAGGAAGGAGCCCCTAAACTTTGTATAAATATATTCCTTTAGCTGTTTTTTTAGTACTGTTAGCTTTTTGTTGTTGGTCCACTCGTTTGTAAGACAGGTGGTAGAGTTCATTTTACCGTTTAGAGTCCTCTATGCAGCGATTATACAACCTGACCGGGGTGAAATGGAGCAGAGTAGAGTAGATCAGATCGAAACGAAACGGAGACATGACTTTATTCGTTAACAATTCGTTGGAATAACGAGGTTGAGTGGTTATCATTAAAAGCGATCTCTAGCTGTAGTCAGTAGTAAGCCATTAACCAACAAACGTACTCATCCTGTGAATAAGAGCTGAAAACATCAAATCAATACATTTTTATTTTTTCGACGCATATTCGTTTGTTTGCTATTCGTTAATGCCACCACATCTTTTCGTACTTTTTCCATACAAATTGCCATCGTTTGAAAGAGTTTCATCGATACGCACAGTGCATTTGCTCTCTGTGTCAACCATATACAATCGGTTTCATTTCATAATCTTGGCAAAAAAAAAATTCACAATTGAATTAAAAAATAAATTAAAATTGCTTTAATATAAAATGAAATGTTTGCCTTCATTATCCAGCAACCATTCATCACGAGATGTAGATATACGTTGAAACTTAAATATTCACTTGTTTGCTTTACGAATCATTTCAACATACTATTGAAATGATACTTGTTGCAAAGCATCACATTGTGCACTTGAAGCTATTTCTTTGGAAAAAGTTACCCAAACAAAAAAGGCTCAAATCATTGATCAAATTCAATGTATGACCAATGAGGCCTTTTTTTTTTTATCTTTCAAAACATTAATTTGTTATATTCAATATTCAATACACAATTTCAATTTCTAATGTGTTGGTTGTTACAATTGGGAATTAGTAGGTATTAAAATGTAATTTCTTCTTCAACATACCTGCTACTTCCTTGAGTTTTTCCGGTAACTCGAGAGCAACACGCTTAAGTAATGCTATGGTAGGCTTCTCTGAGCAAAGCACAACAAGTTCGACGGAATTGTCACCTTGTAAAAGCAAACCCTTGGCCAAGAAACCGACCCGCATTACCCCTTTTAATATGCGAACATTTGCCGAATCGGCATCTTTTTGAAAAGATAGCATTTGATTATCACGTCCATCCTTAACTGTGCTATCATTTTTCTCTTTCTTAGCAGCTGAGGGTCCATTATCGTCGGCTAATGTGTCCGACACATACTTCAATGCACGTTCTGTATGCGAAACAATACGTTGAATCACTTGCAATTCCTCTTCTTTGGGATATATTTCAGCATGGCGAGCGATTGCGTGGCGGTCATCACTACTCTCAGGTCGCCGAATATTAGCCCCACCCGGAATCATACCAAAGAAAGGTGGTGGTCCATTAGCCATACGGCCACCAAAACGCTGATTACCTGAAATAGAAGCATAAAATGGTTGTCCTCCGAGATTAGCAAACGACAGGCATACCAAAGCTTCGTGCCAACCAATTATTATAATCATATTCATCATCATAGTTGGCGCGCCGCCGTTGCTCATCCCAATAACCCCCTCCACCTTCGTAATTATCACCAAAAGCCCCATTCGCATTTCGATGAGCTTGCATAAGAGCACGTTGAGCCCGAGCTTCAGCCAAACGACGTTGACGTGGTGTAGGCTTAAAATCGACGACCAAATCTGGTTGCACTTTGCGCTTGTATTGCAGGCGATGTCGACGTCCTTTCATGTGCATTTCCTTAGCATTTGGATCGTTAAATTTGCAATCGCAAAGTTTACAGTTGAAACTAAGTATTTTTCCCTCATCATCTTTGACTTCTTCAATGTATTCTCCGCCAACAGGTTTGATATTGTCGGTATTTTCTGTTGTTCCAGCATTAGTCTCCTCTTGGCCGCCTATTATAAGAGAAAAAAATATGTCGTTTCTTGATGCCGTATTGACAATAGAAAAATCATCGCACTAAATATCTTACCTTCAAGATCGCCCTGGGCTTCGGCACCTGCTTCTGATTTCGAATTACCTCCAGCTGCATTACCATTAGTGGCGGATGTACCACTTGCTGGTACAAAATTTATTTTAGCTAATTTCTTTGGCTCATCTGGTGGTATAGGTTTGCCAAGTTTCTGATGCAATTTCACGACCTTCTGATGTTTTGCGCCACGTACGTGTGCTGCGTAGGCGTCCGTTCCGGTGCAAGTAACATCACAAAGCTCGCAATGGTAATTATTACCTCGATTCTGAGATGTGGTCTGAGCACTAGCCTGCATTTTTAAAGAAGCTTCACGTTTTTTATGCTTTTGACCGTCCAAATGCTCACGATAAGTTTGTGGACCTGCACACGAAATTTTGCATACTTCACAGTAATGAAGCTGCTGTGGACGAGGAGGAGGTTTGGTTCGTGGCCGGGTAACATTAGGACCTGGACCACCGGTCGTACCTTTCCTATATGGTGGCCAGCTGGTAGCAGCTCCAACTGAACCGTTTGCTTTTGCACCAGCAGTACCCTGCTGCTTCTGAGCAGCATACACAGAAGCCGCACTGTACAAAGCTGCATCGTAATTGGTATAAGAAGCCACACCCGGGGCAGTTGGAATCGCACCTTGGATTCCGGCTTGCTTTCCAATGACCCCAACGCCAGCCTTTTCTTTTCCAGTTGCAGGCTTAGTTCCAATTGGATTTATGTTTTTAACGGGTGGTGCCGAATAATGAGTCTTACTAACCGTAGCTGTTGGAGCGGTGTTGTAGTTGGATGCAGCCTGCTGATAGTATGTCTTGGAAGCATCATACGACGGCAACGCAGCACGGCCGTATTCACTTCCGTAACCCCCGTAACTACCAGGAACCGTATTTCCAGCTGCATAACTACCATTTCCAGCAGCAACGGCAGCTGACTGGTAAGCAGCGGCATTGGCGTAAGTAGCGTTCGTTACTGCCGGATAGGAAACCGAACCGCCGCTATAACCTGAACCTCCAGGTGAACTATATTGGGTGCCGCCGTAGCTAAATCCGGCGTAATTATTATTGGCCATATTGCAGTCTTAAAAAAAGCAAATAAAAATTCATGCAATACAAATTTTCCTAACCTCACATGGCTACTCACCAAGCACAACGATTAATCGAGAACTCTTGTACTTATACACGCACACAGGCTAACTCGTAGAAAATTCGTATACAGACTTAAATAAGAAAAGAAGAAAAGAGGAACACGCCGGTCAAATTAAATAATCTAATGTTAATTAAAATAGATTTCCGTTATTCTATTATTGTATTGTGTATCTTTAATATTAAGCATATTAAAAATGATTAAAATTTAAATGTAATTACGCTTGTTTAATATTTTCGACCCTCCACCAATTCGTTTTCACTATTATTGGTTTTTTCACTAGTATTCGTTACATTACACATCGGTGGCATAATATACATAATTTTTCTCACATATAAATTTTCTCAAACGCAATAAAAATTAATTTATACCTACATGCAAGAATAGGATTCTTTTTATTTGTAGTCCTCTGCAAGCAAACGTAAAAAATTACTTTGTAATTTTTATCACTTTTTATGAGTAAGAAAAGTCGATCAAAATTGCGTGAGGATTTTATTAGGATATTGCCAGAACTGAATATTTTTGGGATTATGGCAACTATTTCAAAGATAGCATTGATAACATCTTTTTATGATATCCTCATAGGCTTATTTCCATAACATACTAAAGAAATCTTAACTGAATTATGTTTTTTGTACTTCAATCATTTTTGGAATACTTTTTTTGAGGAACAAAAAATTAAAACTTCACCACGTCCCGTCAGAATTTTCAAAATCACTAAAAGTTAATAAAAAATTATAAACAATTAGGCGGAAAACACAATAAGCTACGCTTATATTCCCATGTCTAGACGACAAATTAAAAATATTTATTCACTTGTAACTTTGTATGGGTGTTGCCGATTATTTTTATTTTAGCCTTTTAGTATTCCATCTTTTATAATTCGTGAGTAAATGAACAAAAACCAATGTTTGTTTGTTTAGAAACAGAGTTTGCGGGTTTGTGCTCTGACAAATTTTCCACGTTTTCTATCAAATTTGAAGTCCTCATTTTTGCGACCACGAGAGAGTCAACAACATACAGCACAAAGGCACACAAACTCACAGACAGATAGACATGGCTTAATCAATTCAAAATTTCATGCTGATTAAGATATATGTATTATAGGGCCTCCGAAGTTTCCTTTTTGGTGTTGCAAACATTATGACAAAATGAAGTTAAACAAAAATAAAAAGGATTATTTAAGCATCAAACACAAAGAAAAGGTGCGTCATTATGTTCGTTTATATTATTTTCTACAAGTTTAACTCTTATTTCCATATTTTAAAGCAAAACGAAGCTTCGCTGTGTGACACCCTAAGCTGAATAATTTTCTAGTGAGCATATCCCCTCGAAAATCAAACAATCCTGGTTTCTGTCACTGTACGGCTATGTATTTTTAAGAGAATATAAAAAAAACATGCGAGATTGGGAGCTATGAGAACTTTTAATGCCACGAAAACAAAAGCGGGAAACGAAATGAACCCTTTACTTTCATGTTCCCCACTTTCAATTAATTTCTTAGAATTTTATAAACCTGATATGAAGGGATATGTAATATATATTCATATAAATATATATATATATATATATATGTTACTCAAAGCCTGCGTGTTGTATCAAAACGTAATCTTGTTCATTCAAGTTCTTATTATATCAACCATGTGTGCAATAGAGATTTTTGCTTATAGTTGTTGGTCTCATAGGTCCGCTATTTTTAAACCTATACAAAGCATGTGAAACGTAAAACAATATACAAAAGTTCAACTGTAAAATTAATCCCAACATTAAATTGTGGGCCTCTTTTTTTATTATCAAATAGTTTTATGGCCATATATTAGTTTATCCCCCAGATTGGCGAAATCCAGGTCAACTTACACTAAAAATATACTAAGGGAATCTCTAAAGAAACAAAACCGTAGGCTCATTTTTATTGCTTCCAACTTTAAACGTCTGCTTACAAGAAGTTCATAATTAAATCATAGGGGTGAGGCGACGTATATTGTATATGGGAAAAAAAGCGACTAGTCGGCCATTATGAGGCGAAACAATAGATTTATAGAACCGTGAAAGTGAATTAATAGAATAAATTATTTTATCTGAGTATTATATGTTATACAAAATATGCAAAAAAAAAACCAATCCTCCGGTTATGAAAATTGACGGTGACTCTACTATCTTTTCGACAGCGTTGCTTGATACCAAATTTTCTAGTCGAGACACAAACAGCGTTGTATTTGTTGTATCGTTGATGTGTGAATGGCAAAACTCATCGAAATAAATAAGAAGGAGAAGTAAATAATTAAATAAGCAGAACAACAATGCAAATACATTATTTTTCATTTATATATACTCACCGCTCTAATATTTATTTTAATATTTTCGAATTAGTTAATTTCTTTTTCATAATACCATTTTATTTTATGGCACCAGAGGCGAAAAATATAGAAAATAATTATTTGATCTTCCCAACATTTTGCAATCTTTGCTACATTAATAGATAATTAGATAATCTTTACATTCATTAATTATATTACGTATGTGCATTTTGCTTTATTTTCCCTCGTCTATTCGACACCATCTTTGTCGTTGAAGGTTTTTTTCATTTGACACTAATAAAAATAGAATCGGATTTTAAGGATCCTTTGTTCCGCGTATTTTGCACACAGTTGGTACTGTTCGAGGCATTTAGACAATTTTAGTTTTTAATTTTTATTTAATCTACTATTGGGACAAAAATTTTAAATTAGCCTGCATCAGTTGCAAGCTTTGCCATCGCAAAATCTATTGGCTTTTGGTTCGGATGCTGAAACCTCTTCTTTGAATAATAAAGATTGAGATATTATAAGTATCATCTAATTGTGCGATGCCGCATTTAGCAATTTCCCCAATTTTTAAATATATCGATTTATTATAATGGGATTGTGAAGTTTTTTAATTTAAAAACGATTAATATATTATATTACAAAAACGTAAATAATTGAACCCACTTAAAATTACATATTAAAAAGTATGCAATATTTGTTTTTTCCAATTTTCAACTTTTGTTAATAATTTAATCATTTCGCAGGTTTTACAAGTTCTAGTAATTTTTATTGTTATTGTTTGAAGAGTTTCTTTGGTTTGATTTCATTTTCCAATACATATGTACTAAATTGTTCCTTTTTCCAGTTTCTTGCTGAATGTTGCAGATGGCCTTTATAAACACATTTGAAAGTTTCAGAGCTAAAAAAACAAATTGCATAATTTAAAATTTGCGGAAGGCGAAATGAAATGAATTTTATCAAACTGCAACTCTTCTTGCTTTTCTGTTTCTATCAGCTATCATGTGAACAGATGTTGTTTTTGCTACTAAAATATTCCAGCATTGTAAATAAGAAGGTTGATTAATTCACCACATATATATTCGCCATATTGTCATCAGTGTTGTAAATGAATAAAGCGAAGTTTTATCAATTGTGTTCTTTGCAATTTATGAAAATTACCAAATTTTGATAAGCAAAAATATTTTCTGTAATAATAAGAAAAAAGGTAGTTTGCATAAGCGAGGGATTACGGGGCTAGAAGTTTTAAGCGTAGTACGTGAGTTGCAAAAAAAAAATAAATTAGGTTTAAAGCAGCCATAAAAGAGCAACTGTAAATTTTTGTGTTTGTGTGTGCAAATGCTTTTCTGTAGTGTATAACGAAAATATATTCTACTTTTTCACTTTGATATATTTAAGAGAAATTTTTAAGATAAAAACATTGTAGAGTGTAGAGAAAGAAACAAATTAGTAAAATGACTTCACCTTCACCAGCGAATAGCCCTATGCCGCCACCGCAAGCGCCAAGTCCTATGGGACCGCCCTCCCAGAGTCCGGCACCTTCACCATCTCCGCACAGTCCTTACGCTCATCCGTCACAAACTGGTCCTGGCGTGCCACCCGTGCAGCAGATGCCTTCGGGAGCTCCTCAAGGTCCTCCGCATGGACCACCACACTTACAGGGACCTCCTCCTGGTCCAGGACATCACGGCCCTCCACCGCCAGGGCATCCAAGTCCTTATGGTCATCCTATGCAGCACGGACCTCCCCATGGTCCTCCACATGGAGGCCCCCAGCATGGTCCCATGTCCACTCAACAACATGGAATGCCTCAACATGGTCCACCGCCAGGACAGCACGGGCCTCCAGGGGCACAAGGTGCTCCAGTTACAGGACCACCAATGACTCATGCTCCGCCGCATGGTGTGCCGCCACACGCGAATCCACAACAACAACCTAGAGCCCAGGGAGGTCCTCCACCTCATATGAATGGTCCTCCCGGGCAAGGACCGCCAGGTCCTCAAGGGCATCATATGCCACCACATCATCAAGGAATGGGTAATTTTATTAATTGATTATATAAAAATGCAATCATATTGCATGTGCTTCTCAAACATGAATTTTTCTGTTACAGGCCCTCATTTAGGGATGCAGATGCCGCCTCAAGGACCTAATATGCCAATGGGTTTCCAAACACATGGTCTGCCCCCAAATGTAAGTTTAGCCAATTGCAATGAAATTAACTTTATATATGACAAAATATACTGTGAGAAATTTCACGAAAAATTTGTCCTGCATACCCGCATCGGGTCCTCAAAAATCAAAGCTGAAATAAAAACAAGTAAGAAAATTGTGTTCGTCTTAGGATTAAACGTTATATGTATTTGTGAAATGAATTTGGTTTGCATTTGGTTAATACAAAACCACTTTTAAATGACTTTAAAAACAATATGTAAATGTTTTTTTCCAAAGGGTTTGCTTTTAAAGGAAGTGGATAATGCATCCACTAACTTCGTTGTTAAAAGTAAACAGTGTGTCCGTATTTCATCGATTTAAGGAAGATTAACTAAATTTAGAAAGACAGAAAGATTAACTAAATTAGATTTATAAAAAGTGTGGCCCATGAAATGATAATCGTTTTTATATATTTACTCAGACAAACGTATCCTTGTTTTTTTTTATGTTTGCCTTTGGAACCAATATTTTATAAGAACAAGCAAATTAATTGCTCTCTCTATCTAAGTAGAAACTATTCATAACAATTATTTTAAGCTGACAGTTTTAGCAACTATGTTAAAGTAAATAACTTGCATTATTTATCTTTTTACCTGTGGAATAAAATGCAACTGCTGTGATATGTACTTCGCTTAAGTAGCTTGTTTTTCATGCCTAAAAGCGTACACTATCATTCTTAAGTTTGCTTTTTGTGTAACTTTTAGGGTCCTCCAACAGGCCCGGGTCAGGGACCACCACCCGAGCGAGCTGGCCAAGAAAATTTGCATGCATTACAACGTGCCATTGATACAATGGAAGAAAAAGGTCTGCAAGAAGATCCTCGCTACACTCAACTACTCGCTATTAGAGCTACTTCAAAACATCAACATTTAACAAACAATCAAGTGACTATGTTGCGCGCACAAATCACGGCTTATCGCTTGCTGGCACGTAACAAAACGATTTCGATGCAAACGCAACAAATTTTGCAGGCACCTGTGCAGCAACAACAACCTGGAGTAGCGCCCTCTACAATACCCGGTCACCCGGGAGTACCAGGCCCGGCGCCTGTACCGCCCGGTGTTCCTCAACAGCAAGGAAATAGTGGAACACCACCACAATGTCCAACACCTCCGGCAAGTCCTTACGCTCAAGGCCCGGGAAAAATGCAACCACCACCTCATAGTCAACCTGGTCAAATGCCTCCGGGTGCTGCTCCACCGCCACCTAATCAAGATTTGCATCAAATACCCAATGGGAGTAAACCGCCGGGCCCGCCATTATTGGCTGGAGGTCAACCACCAATATCTTCACCAATACCAGCTACTATAAATGCTGCTGGGGTACGCCCACCTGGATCCGTAGGTATGCCACAAGGACCGCCGAAACAAGGAGCTCCTGCACCCCAACAGCCCATGCCTAAGCCAAATCGTGTTACGACGTTAGCAAAACCAGTAGGTTTAGATCCTATCGTTTTGTTGCAGGAACGAGAAAACCGCATTGCCGCTCGTATGGCTTTGCGTATGCAAGAACTTCAACGTTTGCCGGTTACGATGCCTGAAGATCTACGTCTTCATGCTGCGATTGAATTGAGAGCTCTACGCGTATTGAATTTTCAACGTCAACTACGCACTGAGATTGTTCAGTGCACTCGTCGTGACACTACTTTGGAAACCGCCGTTAACATTAAGGCTTATAAACGGACTAAACGTCAAGGATTGCGTGAAGCTCGTGCTACCGAAAAACTTGAAAAGCAACAAAAATTAGAGGCAGAACGCAAACGTCGTCAGAAACATCAAGAATTCCTGGCTGCTGTGTTGCAACACGGTAAAGATTTTAAAGAGTACCATCGCAATAACAAGGCTCAATTAGCTCGCATCAATAAGGCTATAATGAACTATCACGCCAACGCTGAACGCGAACAGAAGAAGGAACAAGAACGTATTGAAAAGGAACGTATGCGTCGATTGATGGCCGAAGATGAAGAGGGCTATCGCAAATTGATCGATCAAAAGAAAGACAAACGTCTGGCTTTCTTGCTTTCGCAGACCGATGAATATATCAGCAATTTAACTCAGATGGTCAGGCAGCATAAGGACGATCAAAAGAAGAAGAAGGAAGAGGAGCATAAGCGTTTATTGCTTTATAAAAAAGAATTGTTAGTAAGTGGCGACTATCTCAACATAGATGATAGTTGTATGGCAGCTGATTTGCATGTTGCTGTGGTTGAGCAAGCGACAGGCAATAAATTGACTGGTGAAGAGGCTCCGTTATTAAAAAATTTGCACCGTTGGTTGGAGCAAAATCCTGGATGGGACTGGATAGAGGATGATGATGAACAAAATGATTCAGAGCACGATAATAAGAAGGAGCATAATGAAAAAGAAGCAACAGAGAAACAAGTGCAACAAGATATTAAAAGAGACGAGCAGAAAGAAGGCGACGAAGATGCTAAGGATCTAATTAAAAAAGCCAAAGTCGAAGATGATGAATATCGCACAGAGGAACAAACCTATTACAGCATTGCTCACACAATACACGAAAAAGTTCATGAACAAGCTAGCATCATGGTTAACGGCCAACTGAAGGAATATCAGTTAAAGGGTTTGGAATGGTTGGTATCGCTCTATAACAATAATTTGAATGGTATTTTAGCTGATGAGATGGGCTTGGGTAAAACTATACAAACGATATCTTTGGTAACCTACTTAATGGATAAGAAGAAGGTAAATGATGAAAACAGATTGGGGTAAAAGCTTACTGTCATTGTTTTACTCATTACTTAAGGTTATGGGACCGTATTTGATTATTGTGCCGCTATCCACTTTGCCAAATTGGGTTTTGGAATTTGAGAAATGGGCGCCCTCGGTGGGAGTTGTCAGTTACAAGGGCTCACCTCAAGGACGCCGGCTATTGCAGAACCAGATGAGAGCCACCAAATTTAATGTCTTGCTGACCACTTATGAATACGTGATTAAAGATAAGGCCGTTTTAGCTAAAATTCAGTGGAAATATATGATTATCGATGAGGGCCATCGTATGAAGAATCATCATTGCAAACTCACCCAGGTGTTGAATACTCACTATGTGGCTCCCTATCGTTTGCTGTTGACTGGTACTCCATTGCAAAACAAATTGCCTGAATTATGGGCGCTATTGAATTTCTTGCTGCCCTCGATTTTTAAATCATGCTCCACGTTCGAACAGTGGTTCAATGCTCCTTTCGCCACCACAGGTGAAAAGGTTGAATTGAACGAAGAGGAGACAATTTTGATTATACGCCGTTTGCATAAAGTTTTGCGTCCATTCCTGTTACGCCGTCTGAAAAAAGAAGTAGAGCATCAACTGCCTGATAAGGTCGAATATATAATCAAATGTGATATGTCTGGCTTGCAGCGTGTTTTATACAAACATATGCAAAGCAAGGGTGTTTTATTGACTGACGGGTCAGAAAAAGGTAAACAGGGAAAAGGTGGGGCCAAAGCATTAATGAATACCATTGTGCAACTGCGCAAACTGTGTAACCATCCTTTCATGTTTCAACACATCGAAGAGAAATATTGTGATCATACAAGAGCGCAAAGTATGGCTTCTGGTCCCGATCTATATCGCGTTTCGGGTAAATTCGAGTTATTAGATCGTATTTTACCGAAACTGAAGGCAACTAATCATCGCGTTTTGCTATTCTGTCAAATGACTCAGTGCATGACTATTATTGAAGATTATTTAAGCTGGCGTCAGTTCGGGTATTTGCGCTTGGACGGTACAACAAAAGCGGAAGATCGTGGCGAATTATTGCGAAAATTCAATGCTAAAGATTCGGACTATTTCGTATTTCTTTTATCTACGCGAGCCGGCGGCTTAGGTCTTAATTTGCAAACAGCCGACACGGTTATAATATTTGATTCGGATTGGAATCCCCATCAGGATTTACAAGCTCAGGATCGTGCCCATCGTATTGGTCAGCGCAACGAAGTGCGTGTGCTGCGTTTAATGACAGTTAATTCGGTTGAGGAACGCATTTTGGCTGCTGCTCGTTATAAATTAAATATGGATGAAAAGGTTATACAAGCAGGAATGTTTGATCAAAAATCTACGGGAAGTGAACGTCAGCAATTCCTACAAACCATACTTCATCAGGATGACGCCGATGAAGAAGAGGAAAATGAAGTGCCAGATGACGAAATGGTCAATATGATGATCGGACGTTCAGAGGAAGAGATTGAATTGTTTAAGAAAATGGATATTGAACGCAAGAAGGAAGATGAGCGTTTACATCCAGGTCGTGAAAGATTGATAGATGAATCTGAACTACCCGATTGGTTGACTAAGGACGATGACGAAGTAGAGCGCTGGCATACATACGATGAAGACACTATTTTAGGTAAAGTAAAAAATCATTCGAATTAAATTATTGATTGAAATAATTTCTCGAATTTTTTTGTTTTAGGGCGTGGCAGTCGTCAACGCAAAGAAGTTGACTACACGGATAGTCTTACAGAGAAAGAGTTATTAAGAGCTATTGATGATGGTGCCGACTTCGATGAGGAAGAGGAAGAAGAAGACTCCAAACGTAAAAAACGCAAACGCAAAAATCGGAAAGATGAATCGGATGATGATTCTGTGATCTTGAAGCGTCGACGACGCCAGAATATCGACAAAAAATTGAAAAAACAAATGAATAAAATTATGGCCGCTGTAATAAAATACACACATGATGGCCGCATTCTGTCTGAGCCGTTTATGAAATTACCTTCCCGGCAACGTTTGCCCGATTATTATGAAATTATCAAGCGCCCGGTTGACATTAAAAAGATATTACAACGCATTGAGGATTGTAAATATGGCGACTTGGATGACTTGCAAAAAGATTTCGTGCAGTTATGTCAGAATGCTCAGACTTACAATGAGGAGAACTCTTTAATTTACTTGGATTCGATTGAATTACAAAATGTGTTTATCGGTGCTCGTCAACGTATTACAGTGGCAGCAGCTTCGTCTCTATCAGGCGGCGGTGAGGGTACCACAGTCGGTTCTGACAATTCCGAAAACGAGGATGAAGACGGTAATCAAGATAATTCAGATGATGAAGAGATTGCCACTACTTCAGCTGCTGCGGTTAAAATGAAGTTAAAGTTAAGCAAATCATTGGCCAACACATCGTCGACCCCAACACCTTCAACTTCGGGGGTTGGTGGTAGTGTTTCAACCAGTAAGAAACAAACCAGACGTAAACGTTCACAAAAAAAATATACAATCTCTGACGACGACGACGATGATATAGATTAGCTACCACTTGGCGTAGTATTCTCTTTACATTCACGCAATGAATAAGAAATTTCTATTTATTCATCTTATCTAAGATAAATTGCAAGTTGCTTTTTAAAAGATTTTTTCAATTTGAGATATTTCTTAATCTATATAAGTAATAGTTCTTCTAGATATTTTTAAAGCTAAACGTCATAAATTTTCTTAACTTAAAAGTTTCAATTATTCAATTATTTTTTGGTTAATTACATAATTCACTTACAAGTGTGGTAAACTGCATAAATAAGATTAAATGAATAAATACTAATGTTTATAGCTCTAGTAATAATCAGTTTTGCTTCCTCTTTTTTTTAATTTTTTTTTTTTTTTTTACTTTTTAAAACTAACAAAGGAAAATCAACAAAACCTTACCGTCTAAGTACTTATACATTTCTTCAATTTGCAACAGACATTTATATATGTACATATATATATATATATATATATATATGCCAGATCTGCCCTTTCGGATTTTACATTCAATAATATACACATATGTATAGATTCAGATCATTAGAATGCAAATGGTCATAAGAATTGGAGAAAAAATGATTTCATCAGTAGATCGATCAATGAAATTAATCTCCGTAACGAATAGGTAATGGGTAGGTGATCGAGGGGAAGGAAATGTACAATTGCGGAAATAAACTAAACTACGTTTCAGTTCACTATAATCTGTTTTGTTGTTTACCTTGTAAACACTTCCTGATCAAGATTCCCAATTGCATTGTGCTAATGTATAATAAATCCCTTTGACATACTTACACTCGATTCTATTCTAAGTATTTGCTAACAGGTGCGTGCTTTTTCAACATATTTTTTTTTATTAAATATTCTCTTACAAAATACACTTAAGGAAAATTAAGGAAAGTCTCTGCCTGTTATCACAATTACTAATTTGCATGAAATAAGAGACGGACGGACATAGATAAATTGGGACTACAAGTTAATTCGTTGTCAATCAAGATTGGTATTGATTAAATTTAAAAATATTTCTATTTATTCAAAACTGATGAGTGGTTAATATTTAGCCAAAAGATCATTAGTTTTCAATATTAGCTTAAAAAAGATGGATAGGAATGGAGTGGAATATAGAAGGTAAAATTTTAGAAAATTTAGGCCGTCATACTCGATCGATTAAATTGATAATATAGAATCGATCTTGATGAAAGATGGCCGGAAAAATTTAAAACCAATTTGATCCATCCAGATACAGTTTTAAATGTAAATTCGTGTTTTCAACCAAGGAGTAGCAAGTATATATTTTATAAAATTCTCTCTCGATCTGGATAGATGAGTTATAATTATTTAATAAATCGAATAAGTTGAAATAAATAAAATAATAATTTATTATTAGCTTTGAAGAGAAATCGAAAAATTGTATTGATTAAAAAGTAATTAGTGTTAGTTCCCTGCTAATTGAGCATTAGAAGCATTCTAAATTTGTTGATTTACTTAATTGAAGAAATCAAGTATTTGCTGGACATGCTTTTGAATGATTCTTTACAAACATGTAACGGTATTATTTCAACTTAAAACGTAAAACTAACAAAACCAGTTACACAGTTATTTACAATTCAAATACGATCAACTTTAATAGATGTTTACTGGAAAGAAAAGAGAACGCAAAGGCCAAGAGCACATTCCGAACAAAACAAAACAAGTTTATGTCCATTTCATTGTAAAAGAGCGCACAAAGAAGTCTATGGGATAAGAATAATAAGTAAAAACAAAACATACATATATATACCATCAGCTCACACGCGCCCAAAACTTTGAAATATGATTTTAATAAAGCCCCCTATGCGCATATATATGCGAAAAGTCTTTTTCTTTTTTGGCCAAAATAAAAGTAGAAGAGGTTCGATCAGGCACCTACTGTTACATTCATATTATCAGTGTTCGAGGGGGAAAAACAAGTTGTATAAGCAAGTATCAAAATGAATAGAACTTGATATGAATATGATCGTTCTGCTAACCACTTCGTAGAAGATGCTTACCCGGTTGTAAGTGCGGTAAAAAAGTTAATATTCCTTGTAAACAAAGCTTTTCGTCGCTTTCAATTGAAATGCATGTTAGACACCCTTCGCTTTATATAAGGTTTTTTTTTTTTTTTTTGGTTCGAGGGTGGGGAGGTCTTGGAGATTTATTAAAATCGACTTAAATAAATCTTTCCTATCGATGTCTGAGAGAGAGAGAGAGAGAGAGAGAGAGAGAGAGAGAGGTTGAAATTATAATGGGAAATTTTCATTTTGGTTGGAGTGATTTAGGAATACGTCTTTGAATTTTTACAATTTTCTTGGATGTTTCGCAATCTTGGATATATTCTATTAAAACAAGGGACGCCAAACTAATATATATAAATATAAAATAACCGTAGATAATATCAAACAACAGAATCTGAGATAGTTAGTAGTGTAGTAAGGCGTAGCAAACATGATAATAAATTAATTATGCCATCCGTAAACAAGCGTACAAAAATGCGGACGCAGTATGTCTTCAATAAGCGCAGTGAGTTTTTCCTTTTTGGTCTGCTTGCTGTGCATATTGTCGCATAAGATAGAAAACTAAGAAACTTCACGCCTACGTTACGTTGCATTCAATACTGAATAATTTTTAATATTTCATTTTTATACAGCTAATATTATTTATTAATATTATTGCAAAGAGATGGATCACTTCCTAAAAGTTCGATTATCTTTACTCTAGAGAATGACGGGAGTTATCGATGAAATTTTACTTCTAAATTGAATGAACTTAGCTTGCAAGTTTCCGATTAATGTTAGGTGCTTTTACAAACATATATTTTTTAAATCATTTCAAGTTTTTGGGGAAAAATTATCTAACTTAAGTAATCAAATATGTTAATGAAACCCGTATATATACTGCAAAGAGATAATATCTCGAAACTGTTGATTAATCAATGCTTAGATTGTTCTATGTCCGGATTGGCCCAACATATTAATATATCTTTTAGCAATTTTTAGAAAAAAAAACTCATTCTTTTTTTCTTTATTATACCATACACCATATATCCTACAATAGTATATAGTATTAAGTTTTTTTGACCGGATGTGCACAAAACCCGCAAGAACTAATGATAAACCCGATCGATTTAGAAGCATTTATTGCTTTGATTTAAGCTTGTCTGTACGTCTATTCACATTTTATTATTGTATACAGCAAATATTTTGATGATCTGGTGCAAAATGATTTCGCATCGGACCACTACCCACATAATTTCCTAATTCGAAGAATCGTTATATGAATGACTGCACTAAGCGAGACGGGTGAGGTAGGGTATTTAATGATCGGCCCTATCTCATTATAATGTTTTTACTTGTTTTCAAATACCTTTCTCAATATCTTTTAATAAATAGTTAATATCGCAAACGATATCTTGCAAAATTTCAACATCGATTATATATATATATATATATATATGTAAATAATATATACATGATATATATACATGATAATTTATATTAGCTTAATTATGCAGTGTTAGTAATACATGAATATAAAACACCTTTATCGAAAGCAATTATCGTATGGAATACGTGATACGGTACGATGTCATGCGCTTTCTCTAATCAGGCTTTTAATATTGAGCATAAAGAATACGTGGCGAAGATTGTGTCGGTAACAGAAATTTTGTATCAAAAGAGAGGAAAACTTTTAAGTTTATAAAAAGTTAGTTAAAATCAAAGCGCGTGCGCGCATGCTTACAGTAAAGGAATTATTTGTGCTTATTTTCTTTTCTAAATAATTAATAATGCAAAATCAATAAATAAATAAATGGATGGATAAATAAAATTGTGTGAATATATAATGAAATTTTGAAAAATAATAAAATCTGAACTACATTTGATCGAGAAATTTCCATAAAGTGAAAGTTTATGTCAAAAATATGTTAATCTTAATAAAAAAAATGTTATATGAAATTCAAAAATAATAATAATAATAATAATTAAATAAAAGACAAATAAAGAAGTAAAGAGTTTTTAAGAGTAATATACCAAAGGAATATATTTTGTTCATTGTCCTAAATGAATATATCGCAAATATGTCATCAAGTCAGCATAATCTCGTGCAGAGACGTAAAGTTACAAAACTCAAAGCAATAAAAAATTGTAATTTACCGAACGAGACGGCAATAACAACAACAACAACAACAACGACTGCAATGATTGCTGTTAACAGGTCGACAACGGATTACAAAAACGAAAGACTTCAACGCTGTCAAGAAGGCAACAAACTTGAACATCTTGTTGATACATCACGAAAAACGGCATTCGCATCTGCGTCGGCGTCGTCAAAAGCTTATAGCACTTTGGCTACTGTGGCCGCGGCTGCTTTATGCAATGGCAATATTACCGCATTCGTTAACTGTTGTCGTGATGTGAATTGTCGCCTTGAGACGACGGTATGCGGATGTCAATCTTTTTATGACATTCAAAGAGATTCTTGTGCCAAAGAAAGCTCCACATTATTATGCACTAGTAATTGCTCATCTTCATGTCTAGCGGATTATCAAAATCAAGCGCAGCAGCAGCAGCAGCAGCAGCAACAACAACAACAACAACATCCAGGATTAGAAGATGAAGATTATCAAGCGCCGACGGAGAGCGGAACGCGTTCTACGTCGATTCGAGGCTCTGAAAATAGTACAACTTTCTCTCAACAGCAGCGAGAGAAATTTGTTGTACAACTACAATTGGATTTGTTCAGTTGGGCCCTTTTTCTAACAGCTTTCTGTACGCGTTTTTATCGCTTAAACATGCCGCGCGATGTTGTCTTCGATGAGCTGCATTACGGTAAATTTATTTCGCATTATGTGCGGCATATTTTCTTCTTCGATCAGCATCCACCGTTAGGTAAGCAATTGATAGCCGCTTTCGTTAGCGGCATTGATTATAACGGTAATTTCACTTCTACACGCATTGGCTCGCATTATTCGCAAAATGTTCCCATATTTTGGTTGCGCTTTATTCCCGCTTTATTCGGCAGTCTTCTGCCCACCGCAGTCTATCATTTACTGCATGAATCGGGCATTTCGCGGTGGTGCTCCCTTTTAGGCGGCCTCCTCATCATATTCGACAATGCCCTGTTAACACAATCGCGTTTCATTTTAATGGAATCCATGCTATTGTTTTTCGGTGTGCTGGGCTTGTGTATGCTGCTTAAATTTCAAAAAACAAATATCTCAAAGCCCGTCTGGATATTTTATGGTATCGCTGCCGCTTCTTTGCTAACCTGTGCTGTATGCGTAAAGTATGTAGGTTTTCTAACGTATTGCTTAGCGGGTTATTTGATAGTCAAGCATCTTTGGGATCTTCTATATGATGCAACAATATCGAGTAAGTGGCAACAAGAAGGTAAATAAAACAATTGATGAATAAAATGCTTTTTGCTTAGATCTCCAGATTTGCCTACAAACGGTTTTGCAGTTTATTATTTTTACCGTACTTCCATTGTGTTTGTATTTGCTTGTATTTTATATTCATTTGCAAACCCTTTATCGAGCCGGTCCACACGATAGCGTTATGACGAGCGCTTTTCAAGCATCGTTAGAGGGTGGTTTGGCTTCGATTACGAAAGGGCAACCGCTGAAAATAGCTCATGGCTCTCAAATAACATTACGTCATACATATGGACGTACATGCTGGTTGCACTCGCATCCCCATGTTTATCCCGTTCGGTATATTGATAAGCGTGGTTCGTCGCATCAACAGCAAGTGACATGTTACTCTTTTAAAGATGTCAACAATTGGTGGATAGTTAAGAGACCAGAGCGGGACGATTTAGTTGTAGAAAATGAACCCGACATTATACGTCATGGGGACATAATACAATTGGTGCACGGTATAACAAGTAGAGCTTTAAATTCGCATGACGTGGCCGCCCCGATGACGCCACAATGTCAAGAGGTCTCCTGTTATATCGATTACGACGTCAATATGAAAGGCGAACTGTTGTGGCGAGTAGAGATATTAAATAAAGAATCGGTACGACGAGTATTTTATTTATATTAAAGACTTGCATTTTTAAATTAAATTTTCTCGTTTCAAAGTTCAAATGCGAAAATTTTGAATTAAAAAATTTTAAAAATTCAATCAAGATCTGAAAGCATATGTAGCTATAATCCGACTATGTCTTTGTCTGAGCTGTTGTTTCGGGTAAAAAGTTAAAAAAAAACTTTGCACATCAATTTTTGGATTAAATCTATAGATCAGATTAAAATCATAATAATTTTAAAACGGGTAAGGCGCACCATTAAATACCCTACCTACATCACATTGCCTAAGAAAATTCTTATTTTTATATGAAATTACTATTATGGGTCAACTTTCATCACATATAACATATTAAAACTTAAAGGATCTTAAAAATAGGCCGAGATGGTCCACATTTGGTAGAGTTAATTTTTTTATGTTAAGTTACTATTATAATATAATTTTCATCATGAAGAATTGAAAATTATAACTTTTTGTCGCATGAACTTTAGTTTTCGTTATATGAGAGGGGGTTCAAATGTTGCCCCAGCCGGCCAAAGTTTCAATATCAATTTAGAATGCCGAAATATTACTACTACTTAGGCACGTTTGCTGAGAAATTTTGAAAATTGCAATTTTTTTCCATATAGCGACTTTTCAGCATAGAGAGTAATATGGAGAAAAAGTGGACCGACTCAAACCGTTTTCAATGGCGTTACTGCACACAATTTTATTCAAATATCTCAAAGAGTGCAATCTCTACCTTGTACATAAATTGACATGGAAAGACATCAGACAGAGAGACGGACACGTTTAGATCAATTCAAATTATGATTCTGAATCGATCGGTATAATAAAAGGTGTGTCTATGTCACATACGTCCGCACTAACTTAATATACTCAAGTGGTATAGGATTTAAATGTCGATCAAGGTTACACGTTGAAATTTAATGGAAATATGATCCCGATCGCCGTCAACTAATACTTCCACGTTTGTTATTGCATATGTATTGTCTGCCTTAGGTGGTGAATTATCGCGGCTCACTTCAACGAATACATTTGAAATTGTTGTAAGTAAAATTAAAAAAATAATTGTTTTTTTTTTTTTTTAATTAGGAGGGATCAATCTGGCATGCCATCAAATCAGAAGTGCGTTTAATTCACGTATCCACTGGTGCAGCATTACGTTTTACGGGACGTCAATTACCGGAATGGGGTTTTAATCAACACGAAGTCGCTGGCGATCGTGTAAAAGACAATAAAGATGCTATTTGGAATGTAGAGGAGCATCGTTATACCAAAGGTTAGTTAAAACGAAAAAAAAAAAAAAAGATAAAAAGATGTCACTCATTTACATATGTCGCGTCATTTTAAAGTTGCGTTACTGCTAAGCTTGCGGAATATATGTCTCCAACCATCTCAAAAGCAACGATATATTTGTGAAACATTGTATATGTGTATATGTCTGTTAACTTGATGAAACGAAATCAAATTAATTAACAAAAGTGAAGTAAATCTTGAATGAGAAATTTGTTATTATTGTGCAGGCGTCCCTCGTTCGCATTTAATTCATACCTCACTGTATCGAAACCGTGCTATAACCGAAGCTTATTCTTTAAACTTAGTTTAAGTCAAGGCAACATGCACCGGGTTGTACGAGTAACCACAGAAAGAATTAAGGAATGACAAGACAATCAGTTTTTTTTTTAGCTATAGATACGTAATCCAGTCAATTTAAATAAAAGTGAAATATTTTTGTAATATTACGTCATAATGTCTTGCGCTCCGCTCCCAATACGTACCTTCGAAATGGTTAAAGGTTTTGACATTCAAAATGCATGACTTTAATTGTAAGACCTTGGCAAAGGGCATAGACTTGCAGTTGTATGATCTGTTCTTGATTTTCTTGACGTTGCTTGGACATAACATTACTCAACTAATGAACGCAAATGATATGTGGATTTCATATTTTTCTACTTGACCGAAATCAAAACCAATAACTTGTCCACTGCGATATAATCGAATTTTCCAGATAATTCTTTTCCAGCCTTTTTTTTTTTTTGTATAAATTTAAATGCACAGGAGTCTAGCCAAGTTTTAAGTGCAAGTAAAACAAGTACGAAATTTATATGCGGCAGGGGACGAACCTCGCATACCCACCCTTATGCTTTTCGCATTCTACTCTCCAAGTTCTTTTATTTGATACCCATATCTCTGGTATTATTGAGAAAAAATTAATGGGTGTGACTACTATGTTTATTTTAGAATTAACCCATTTCTAGGCACATATATGTACAAAATATTTTTAATCATTAATCATTAAATCATTTTAAGCATAAAGCCTCAAAAAAGAAAATTTGATCACTTGTAACTTTGTATGGACATGGGCGATTTTTTCCAGGTTTGCACGTGAAGGATAGAGTGTGAGCAAAAACCCACAAATTTTTGTTAAGAAAAACAGGGTTGCATTCAGTTTATGCTCCACTGTGTGAAAACTTCTAATGTTTCTACAAAGTTTGAAGTCCACGTGTTCAATTTTGCGGCCTAGAGAGTGCTAACAACAAACATCACCAGACGGACAAACATGACTGAATCAGTTTACAATTTCACGCCGATCAAGAATATACATGTACTTTATAGGGTCCGTCAAGCTTTGTTTTGAGATTACATACATTGTGGAAAAAAACAAAATAAGTATACCCCCATCCTTCAGTGGTGGCTGTACCGATTAGCAAACTTGATTTAAACCTTTTCATGCTCTAAAAAAATATCATCATAAAGCTTTATATACTATATATTATTATTCATCAATTAATTATTTAATTATTGAAATGAGTACATATACATATTGCATTATATTCTTAGCACACGTATTATGGAAACCAATTGTATGCAATTATATGAAAGTACTTTTGAATACATAAATATAGCTTTATAATGTGTTATCACATAAATGAATAAGCAAAATTACATACATGCATACATTTTAAAAATTTAACTTTCCGACAGCAGAGCAAGTCGATTAATGTCTAAGACAGGTACAAAGTGAGTGGAATTCTTCACTGCCAAGAGAAAGGCCAACCTGATGTGCTATTAGTATGCTGTGTTGTTTTTTGTGACGAGACGAAAAGATAACGAAGTCCTTTTTAATTTTTTTTTTTTTTATACGCTACTAGCTGATTGATCTACACTTCCTGATTGATTTAAAATCACTTTCTGTACCGATGTAAGCTTGTCTGTCCCTTTCAATATATCGTTTTTTTGTGTATATTAATGAAATTCGGTACACTGACATATTCTGGCTTAAGGAGGGAAGCTATTGAAAGTGGTTCGGATCGGAAGGCTTTTTCAAGCACTTTGAAATGTCGTTATACGAATAATTACATTAAGCGAAATGATGAGACGGGACTCATCATAATGTTTTCGTTCGTATGTAATATGAAAATTAATTTTCTTTTCTTTCCTTTAGATCAAGATGAACACGAACGTGAACAGCAGCTGCTTAAAGCTGAGATGCTGCCAACTAAACCTACAAAGCTGACATTTTTTCAGAAATTCTTGGAATTGCAAGCGAAAATGTTTTGGCACGGCCCTCAAATACAAAGCCATATGTATAGTTCGGAACCATTGGAATGGCCTTTGCTTACTAAGGGCATCGCTTATTGGCTTGATACAAAATCCAATGGTCAAATTCATTTACTGGGCAACGTGTTAATTTGGTATACCGGTTCAATTGCGGTATTAATCTATGCGGCACTGGCCTTATTTTATGTTTTAAGAAAACAACGTCTATGCTACGATATCGATTTTCAGGAATGGCAACGTTTCGTAACAATCGGTCATATTTATTTTGTTGGCTACTTAATGCATTATTTGCCATTTTTCTTTGTAGAGCGCACATTATTCTTGCATCATTACTTGCCGGCGTTTCTATTTAAACTATTATTGCTATGCTATATTGTAGAGCATATCGATTATTTATTTAGGCGATATTGTGGACAATTGCGTTGGATGGTGCATTTGTATCGTCTATTAATTTTGTTATGGCTAATCGCTGTTGTCGCTATTTATATACGTTTCTTGCCCATTAGTTATGGTTTAAAAAAATTAACTGCCGATGAAGTTAGTAAGTTGCGATGGAAAGATACTTGGGATTTTGTATTGCAACGTGATGCACTTTTAAACTGACTTATATAACACATTTTGTAAATATGTATACAAAGATATTGCATTGTGTTTCGATTTAAAATTGAAATTTAATTTACTTAACATATTTTAGTTTATGTACACGTGAATGTAAAACATTTTGTCTCTCTTTAGAAAATTAATAAATTTAAAAAGAAAATTAAACTAAATTAAATTATATACAAAAATTTAATTACAAAAAAAAAATTCTACGATTTTTTGCAAAAACATTTCAATGTTTTCTCAATAAAAAAGGATAAAAATCTCTTCGCTAGTTTATGCAACTCTGTCATACCGATCGTATGTGTAAGTTCAAGTCTACAACCCATTTCATTTTTCGAAATATATATTTCAAGAAACTTAAGCGGTTATCTTTTGGAGATTGAGACAAATTATCGATATTGCAAGATGCAGTTCAGCTTTTGCAACCATTTGACCGTCTTACACATTTTCCTATACGTTGTAGCTTATTCGAAAATCAAGAAGCAAAATATTATATATTCGCATTTCATATGGAGGCCAAAAAAGGTGCTGAGAATAAAATTCTATTTCTCAGAGCAACATTTACTCTGCTTTGCATTTCTTATGGAGGCCCAAAAGGATGCTGAGAATAAAATTTTATTTGTAAGACTAAAACGGATAATTTCTTTTAAGCTATTATCAAATTTCATTTGCGATAGCTTTGCAATGTTGACTACTAGTTTTTTTTATTGATTATATAATTTGCGTTTTCCACATTTTTTTAGTAATCTATAGTGTTGAGTAGTCCCTTTTTGTTTCTCGTTTTCTTATGCTTGAAAGAACGCAGTTCAAAACAGCAAAACGAAGGTGTATTTTTAAAAAAAGTGCTATACTTCTCAAAAGTATATATTTAGTTACCCCGTCTTACAGCATGTTGTAGGTTTTACTATAACAAATTAATACAGACGTAGACAACGTTAATTTCAATAATATAGTAACTATCAAATGTCATTGCGAATGTTTTTCAGTAGCTTTACTCGCACGTCAACCGTTTTGCGATCCCGTTAGAGTGGCCATCTTAAAACTTCTCGAGTATATTTAATTCTTTCATATTATTCCCTAATGCTGTTTACAATAAAAAAAAAGACACCCGTTTTCCATAGTACATTTCATACATATCCATTTTGTATTGCAACCCTGCCTAAAGAATTTTGGTGATTAATCTACACATCCATGTGAAGAAAAACGGATCGAAGGGAGGTCAAATATTACATGCAAGTCTAATAGCAATATCAAGTCCTCTTCATTTTGGGCCCATCAAAATTAAAAATCATCAAGTTGAAAATTGTACAATATTGCATACCCTCTCGCTTTCTCGCTCGTTGTAATTTCATATATTATCTATCCTACAATACTATTTAAAATGTTTTAATCGGTAGAGTGTAAAGACGAGAGTGTAGAAAATTCATAAAATTGCATTAAATTAAATAGCACTTTTCGATTACTGCTACACATTTCAAAAAAAAAAAAAATGTAATTAACATAAAACATTTAGGCCGACATTATTTTTATTTTTATTATTATTCCCCGATTTGTGTCGAGTCAGTAAGATGAGCATTAGAGCTACCTTAATACAAATTCTCGTATCAAATTTTTAAATTAGTTAAACATATCCAAGGATTCGCGATTATCTAAATAATACTTACAGTTTATATAGTTTTGTGCTAAATTATAGGAGAATATTTTTTAAATATAATAAAGGGTCTTTGGCTTATGTCGTTGTGGGGAGTATTGCATAAATATATAGTTATCATAGCTTAGTGGACTTCTTTGTCCTTTCAGCACAAGTAATCGGTCCAACATTCTCCTTTGTATTGGCTAAAAGGCCGTTTTGAGTTGCACATCATGTTGTTTCTCGTACTCGCCACTAACAAATTCTGTTCTAAATGATGTTTTCCACATAAATTTATTTATAATTATATAAGATATATGTATATGCTATGGGCTATATTATCAGTTTCATTACCCTTTGCTTAAAACAAAAATATATATTTTTGATTAAAAAAAATAAGAATTTATTGTAAACAAAAGTTTAATTTAAAAACTTGCATATGTTTCTATTTTTGGGGGCCTTTCGAGAGCGAATTATAATATTTCAATATAAGAAAAAAAAAAAAAATAATAAAAATACAAAAATATAAAGGTTAATTTATTAATTCAACGTCCTTCTTTGAATCGACGCATATAATAATTTTCTGTTGACAATTTTGGCGCTTCGTCATTGATGTAATAAAAACAAATAATCGCAATTTCGAGTTGCTTTATAAAAGAAACTAAGAAAATAAATAGCACGAATTCTTTCATATTGATTTTATGTGCGTACATCTATGAGTCTAGTGAGAATTTTCGATACTGGGTTCAAAATTGAAAACAAAACCGCGATAAACATAACTTAAGCCAATATCCGAATTTGGAGGAAAATCAAAGCACAAACGCACATATTTTTGCGAAGACCAATAAGCGGAGTTCTGTAATAAACATCGAATTAGAAAGATTGCTTTCATAATCATTTACGACTTACCCTCTCCACTTCTGTCTCCAGTCCCGACATACGATAATAGATGCATAGTTTATGTGCACGCTCTTGCTGACTTAGATATTCCGTTATGGCAGTTAACAAAGATTTATTCACTTGCATGCAATAACTTATATCGAGATGCTGCAATTGAGGACAGGCTTTTAAAAATTTCATAACCGTATCGTTTTCCAGAGAGCTGGCGTGCCGTAAACACAAAATTTCCAATTGGTTCATGTGTGTGTAACGATCAAAAAAGTTCGACTCATAATCACAATTGCATAGTGCCAATAGTTTCAATTTATTGCAATTTAAATATTTCATATTTAAATCCCAGTTCAAAGATAAAGGCATAAAATATAGATCCACTGCTAAGCCAATTATTGATGAGCTTTTCTCTTCCAAAATATGAATAAATTCTTTGGTCTCATAGATCTTATAGTCAAAGGAGTCAACATTTAAAATGGAACTAAAGTCAACATCTTGATCGAGTAGAACCTTTAAATGCCTTAATTGAGGCATCATAAGCACGTAATCCAAGGCCGTTTTTAGTGTATTTAAATTTAATTTTAATTCTTGCAATACCATGCATTTGGCTATGTCGGGTGTTAAGGTGAGTTTGCTTACCTCAAAAGTGCGTATATCTAAGACTCGCAAATATCTTAAATTTAATAATAATTCATTAAGGAATTCGGGCTTCATTTCAAAGACTTTGCTATATTCGGCGTACAAATGCAGTTCTTCGAGGTATTCAAATTTCGAGATAAAGCAACCCGTAATGGGCGTATTTAAGCTTAAATACTTTAAGTTGGGTAACAATTTTGTTAGCAACTCTATATCCTCATCTTTTGGATAGCATTCCATTACTTCATCCTGTAACTCGCATCTTTCAACACCAGGTATCTCTTTAATACCCATTTCCTCCATCTCTCTGAGAAAAACACTAAGGCATTCATCGATAAGGCGTACTGTATGAAATTCTTTTCTCATCGCCTGCAGGAAATACTCCAAGTCTTCGCTATGTGGCAATATGTTGGTCCAATGTTCTAATACCAAAATACGATTATCTGGATTGCGTTTCCACAAGCGCAACATAATATAACGAAAACGTTTACAGGTACGAGCCACTTGAATTTGAGCTGGGGAATCATTGATTCTTTCAAATATGCATTCTAAACAATCATCATTTAAGTTTTCTAATGACACCGTGCTGTAGTTTTCTGCTCTTTCTATAAAAAATAATTAATGCAATCAATAGATGAACATTTCTAAAATATTTTTTACTTACGATGATTTGTTAGATTCTCCTGCATTTTTTTTACTTTTTCGCAAAACAAAATGTTTCCCTTAGTCGGACTTATGCAAAACAGCTGTGATTTGTTTGGATAATAATACCAAAGAAACAGACACCACAAATTTTGCAAAAATATGTTACTTTAGCGTAATGGAATCCACAAATTACAATTTAGATCAACTTTTTATTACGCTTATCGAAGAGCGAAATTTTCTTTAGGAAAGCAGCTCTGGTGAATATGTATTTTGTTGTTGTAAAAGTAATGCCGTTACCTTTTGTTGCTGTAAAAGTAGTACTCCGTGATTTTATTCCTTTCAAAGTCGTACCGTGTATATTTTACTGGTGTAAAAGCAGTACCGTGTGTATTTTATTCCTGTAAAAGTAGTACCGCGTGTGGTTGTTGTAGTGAAAGAAGTACAAGGTGTATTTTACTGCTCTAAATATAGTACTGTATGCATTTTGTTGCTGTAAAAGTCGTAATTCGTGTTTTCTGCTGCTCTTAAAGCAGTATCGTGAGACTGTTGCTGTAGAAGTAGTGCCGTGTGTCTTCTACTGCTGTAACAGCAGTACCATGTGTGGTTGTTGTTGAAAATTCGAATTTTTCAAAAATTGCTTCTCCTGTTCACTTTTTTCAAGTAACTCAGATTAAGCAAATCATTTTGCTTATAAATAACTGGCAAACAATAAATTTTGCGTTGACGGGTTTCTTAATCCATTAACATGGATGGATTTTTCAGCGAATTATTACAATTACTTTCATTAATCGCTTGCCTTTGATTACAACGCTGTCACGCGAAACTTTGAAAATCTTCATTTTCCTTTATACCTTTTGGAAAATTTCATTTTCAAGGGAACTAGGTTGCGTGGCATTCTGAATTAAAATCAGACAAGAATTAATTTTCCTAGGTACGTATATACGTAAGGGGTTGATAAAACGAATCGTCGTTCTGGTTTTCGGCTTAAAACGTCTTAAGTGATAAACACAATGGGCAGCCGCGCTAACATATTGTTTTAAAGGAAAATGTAAACAACAACATATGGTCTTAGAATCAAACGTAGAGAAATCAACGTAAATACAAATAAGAAATTTATGAAACATAAATAACAATATATTTTTTTTTTTTTTGGTATGTTGAATGGAGATGGACTAAGCCAATAGATTTGAGGCTTATTTGTCCAAAAAAAAAAAATAACAATAAGGTGCAATCAAATTAAATTAATCAAAATGTGTTCCATCATTTCCTACAACATTTTACTATTTTTAAGGCAACATGGCGGATATTGTGTTGAAAGAGTTGCAACAATCTATCCGCGACAAGACTTGCCAGGCCTTGTCATGCAAAAGGTTGAGTTTGCGTCTGTTAACCGCTTTTGCTGGCTTTTTTTGCAACAATACATCGTTCAGTTTGTTCAACTGCTGTCATCACATTCGGTTTTAGTAGCTGGAAATACACTACACCTTGCTGATCCCATCATAGGCACAGCAAAACTTTATGGCCATGAATATTCCGCTTTGCTGTCCATGTGGATGGCTCTTCTGAACTAACCCATGATTTTTGGCTCTTACGATTGTCGTAGTAGATTCACTTTCCGTCGTCAGTCGCAATACCCCACAGAAAACTCTCTTGCCCTGCCTGCCTTGGCAAGCAATGGAACCGGAAATGTTGAAACGGTTCGAAATAACGTCTTTAGTCAATTCGTAGGGTAGCCGTTTTCTTTTCTTTTGAATATTTTTCATCGCTTGTAAACGGCCGGAAACAGATGATTCATCATCTGCTAAGCTGTTCGTTGAGAGTTGGATCTGTATTTTCCTCCAGTAAGTCTTCCAATCTTTGGTCCTCATTAATATCAAAATCAATATTTAAACCAAACCCAACGACTAGCATATGACGAAGCAGCATCACTATAAGCTTCGGAAAGTGTTTGGTGGGTTTTTCGAAATCAAATAACAAAAGCAATAAATGTCGAAAATGGAATTATAAGCGTCCCATGGTTAGGATCCGCATAATTCAATAATACTAAACGGAAAGCGGTTATTTTATATAGAGAAAGATCAAAATCATCTAATTTAACCGTGTGTTAGAATTTTCACCAACAGACAACAAATTACTGACCATATTAATACTACACCACCATTATAGGTCAATTTTTATCACCACATATGAAAAATTTGGACTTTTCTGTTCTACAAAGGACCAATTTTCATGAAAGTCCTTATTAGGGTAAAATCCAAAAGATAGGCCGAGATGATCCAAATTTGGTAAAGGTAACTTTTTTATGTTAAAGTACTGTAATGATATAATTTTCATCATGAAGAAAATTATACCTTTTGTATGAACTTTAGCTTTCGTCATATGGGAGGGGGTTCAAAAACTACTTTAGCAGGTCCAAGTCTTTCATACCAGAATACAGAAATACTGCTACTTAGCTCTCTTGTTCCGAGAAATTTTGAAAATTACAGCTTTTTCCATATAACGGCTTTTCAAAATAGAGCGTTATAGGGAAAGTGCTCGAAAAAGTGCACAGATCCGAACTATTTTCAAAACACGTCGCTGTACCAAATTTTATCAAAATTTCTTAAAAATTGCGACTTGTAGCTTGAACAAAAATTTACGTGAACAGATATCAGACGGACGGGCAGGCTTAGATCAATTCAGATTATGAGTCTGAATCGATGAGTATAATAAAAGGAGTGTCTATGTCAAATATAAGCTCATTGTTATTTCTTTTTCCTAATTTGTAGTCCAATTTGAAAACACCTTACAAAAAAAATGGTGAGGAAGAAGAAGGAGGATTTTGAATTTTTCAATTTTTAATTAAAAAAAATATTAAATTATAAAATTTTAAATCTTAATACGATAATAGTTTTCTATCCGAGACAAAGTTCAGCGGGTCAACTGCCAGTCTTTTAAAGTTGAAAATTCAAATATATGAAAAATATTAAGCAAGTGGTCTAATAAGTAATAATAAGCAATAAGAAGTAAATACGTCAAAAGTTCCGAAGCATTAACTGATTAACCTCTAATGGTATAATGTGTTGGATATGCATTAGATGTATTAAGAATGCCTTCTGCAGAAGAAATGTGGTAAGCGAAATCAATTGTCGGGGCTTTTGTTGCGGGAATTCCGATATTGAAAATATTTCTTGCTCTGGTCAGCCAGTCGCTATCAACGGTAACCAGATAAGATTTCAATCGACTCTATTTCGTATTCTGATCAGACTGCAGAGACCGGAAATATCTCCAGTCATCTCGTATAAAAAATAAAAGCAAACGCTCAGCGGGTTCTTATATGGTTGCGTCATAACGCTGATACCCTGCTGCATATGTGGCTAGCTGTGGAGTACTTTCGTCTTTTTTTTTTCCTATTTTTTTTCATCAAATTGATAATGTTTAAAACTTATTCTTTATTGTTTTCTTATTTTGTAATAATTACACTTAATATCACGTAAAATTACGGGTATATCACAGATGTACTAAACTAAGAGGAAAAGTTTTATGTGTTAAGTATCACAGATTTCACCCACTCAATGTATTTGCTAACTCGTGTGTAGATACCAGGTAGACCAGGTCTAGCGCAACCGAGTCCCGTGGATACTATGCCAATGAGATAATTTTCTTTAGACATTAAAGGGCCGCCAGAATCGGCCTATGGAAAATAAAAACATACAATAATAATAATAATAATATGACATGGAAATTTTATAAAATCGAAAGTTACCCAACAGGAATCGATGCCGCCATTTTCGAATCCAGCACATAGTTGGGTATCCAAAATTTCACTATTCGGTTGTCCATTCAATTGATAAGATTGCTTACACAGATTGTTATTCCATATGCGAACAGAAGCTTTACGCAAAGCATCTGCACGTTCGCCTTCGTATTGATTTTCATTAGTCCAACCCCAGCCGGAGACAGTAGCTAATTCATTTTCATGACTATCAAAACCAACGTCCGCTATTAAACAGCTCGGCTGTATGTGATGAGAGAACTTCAAAGGTTGTATTAATTCCAAGAGAGCTAATTAAATTAAATTTGTAAATTAATTTTGGAGAACACTGCGAAGCAAAAACATATCATATGTTTCTCGACTTACCAATATCGTTTTCGGGTAGGACGCATTGATATTTTGGATGCGGTATTAAATTTTTAAAATTCACTTGCAACGGTTGGGTTACATCATCGTCTCGTTTATTACGTACATCATTTAAATACTGTGAGATACTGTGCAAGCCCATGACGCCTTGTATCTGAGAGGCTTTCATAAATCGATTCAAACCATTACAAATACAGTGGCCAGCTGTAAGCACCCATTTTTCATGTATGATTGTAGCACCACAAAAGTGTCCGCCACGGCGGGTAAGACTTACGATATAGGGCATTTCATTACGTATAGCTTCCAAGCCGCCAACAATTTTTGGCTTGCGTTCTCTACAGGATATGGCTGAAACTGAAAATTTTACAGATTTTGCTGTCAACTTTTATGCCATGAAAAGACTTTTGACGATTTGAGTTAAAAAATTATTTCTTTCCTATTCTTTTCTTTTCTTTTTTTTTCTTTGCTTTCCTTTTCCTTTCTTTTCTTTTCTTTTCTTTTCTTTTCTTTTCTTTTCTTTTCTCTTTTCGTTACTTTTTAGGAAAGCATTCTTAGCGCTATGAAAGGATAAAACGGGTGCCTTGGATGTATTTCCGTTTTCATTCTCACAAAAGGCAAAAAAGCTTGACAAAAAATTATAGAAAGGCATGCCGCATAAACGTAAAGAATGTCGTAAGCGAAGGTCTGGCTTCAAATTGATCTTACGAAATTTCATTCTTATCAAATTTCATTCGAAACGTTTTGGTTTTTAAATCGAAGTTTTTCGATTACAAATCATAAATGTTCAAAAAATCATATGTGTATGAAGTAAATAAGCTCCTGTTATGGAAAATAGATAAGTGATTCTTACTGGTACTATAGCCTTTACTAAGGAATAGGTGCGATTATTACACTTAGAAAGATGATGCACGATTAAGCTATGTATGGCCCTTCCGAACTTAAAGATTGAAATTGAAAACCGTAGCCTGGGTCACAATTAAAGCAAATTGCTTTAAAATGTTAGATAGATTAGGTGGATTACTTTAAAGCGATGTGTTCGAAAACGTTGTAGATTCGATTTGAAGGGTATACCACATTATTTTCCCTTATTGCGTCCGAAAGAAGTTACGTTTTCACCAATATTATTTCTTGTGAGTTTGTTTTGATTTTAATGAACCACGGTCCCACCACTAAATAATCTACACTATTTCGCTTAAAACTAATCCGAATTGGTGTCAATAGTGTCTTTCCTTAGGCTAAAACACGTGAGTAAATCTCAAAAAATTGCAGCTTATTGGTTAAATACAATAATAAAAAATGGACCGACGTACAGACAAAATTTAGATCGGTGTGATAAAAGGTGGATTCACCTCAAGTCTAGTTCCAGATTATGCGTACATTAGTATAAACTTAATGTAGCCTAGTACTATATCTGGTGTAGAGTATAAAACTAATTATCATTTATTCAAATTCTGAGAGTAAGCTTAAGCTGAGATGGGCATGTGTTTTGCATCTATTCTAGGAATTGAAAATTTTGGGTACATTTTTAGTGACCAAAATCGTTCTAATATCATATGAGAAATAACTATTTGATCGGAGAGACGAATTTGAATAATTGATTCATTCATATGATGTCGCAGATGCTTATATCGAAATGCTATAAATTGGATGAGAAAATTAATAGTTAAGTAAAATTTTCTTCCTTCGACTTTTTTCAGCAAATGAATAAAGTGTATAAAGTGTACTTTCTGAGAACTATTTTAAAAAAAAATAAATAAAAAATAATGATTCAAAATATGATCAATAGTATCTCGAATCGCGTGCAATGTAAATTTTCGTAACAAAATTTTCAATTGCAATCAATCAAGTTTACTTACAACCAATTTGGCCCCAAACAGGATTTGTAAACGCTAAGAACATCAACAAAATCCACATTTTTAGTTAATAGTATAAATGAAAACCTTTTGTGTAGTTTTTGCAGTTCACTGACTATTTGAAGATGATTTAGAACTAATTTAACATTAACTGAATGAGCCTTAATTTATATAAAACAAAAATCGCTTTGATATAGCCTTTTATATATATATATATATATATATATATATATATATATGTATAGTCTATCTATCTCTACGCATTTTAAATGCGAACTAACACCGTGACCATAATTCTCTCAATAAACTGTTAAGAATATTAAAAACTGAATTTTATGTCTCTTCTTAACTATTTAATCGAAATATATATATTAATACATATATATATATATATATATATATATATATATATATATATATATAATAGAATTTACTCCCATTAGAAAACGGAACTTTGTCGTTATTGCGGAGAGACAGAATTGAAGAGAGTGACAAAACTCGCAGAAACTTGAAGAACGAAACAATTATGAGAGACGGAAGTAATAAAAAAGCAAGCAACCTGTTGCTTATGAATTTATTGTAATGGCAAATACGTGTGTGTATATGCACACAAACACATAAACATATAAAATTTTACACACCCAACAATTGGGTGCACACGGTGCACTATAACTAAATTCAATGTCAATATAAGCTTACAAAGAAAAGCTTTGTCTATCAAGCTCTTACGGCGTCCGATTGTACATTAATTTCAACTTATTGAGTAAGTCACTGGGTGTTTAGGTCACTGAAATCAGTGCATAAGTGCATGAGTGCATGGGTATTGGTTTTTACAAGCAGTCATGAACACAGTTCGGCGAATGATCGGACTTTGCGAGTAAATTATTTCTTAAATGTTTTTCAATATCTTAAAATGCTTATAACGAAGGCTACGAAGGTTAAACATAAAAGTGGAAGTGTTTATATAACGATGACAATGTGGGCGCTACTATAGCCAGGTAGAGTCATCGAAGGCTATTTGCTACTGTTGCCTGCCTATCTTACCGTCCGCTATGTCAGCTTAGAACAATAACATCTGAATTACTTCCATAAATCGACGCACGTATGATTTTAAAAATTCTTTTCCTCTTTTCCTTTTTATTAAATAACATTTTTTCTTATTTCGAGATATGTGCAAGAGCGGGATATCATAAGGAAACTTTATATTATACTGCGTCCAAGCACGATTTGACTAAATTAAACATCACATAAGCGTTATGCGATTATGTCCGATTGCCTTAATCAACACAAAATGCCAGCCAGCCAGTCAGTCGATATCGGTAATGCGAATGGGGCCTACAAAGGCCCCGGTTGATCGAAAATCGTTCAAATTTCAATTTTCACCTTCTGGGCCTAAGAGTGAACGATAACTTGGCTACAGAGATCCGATTGTGAGGATTTACAAGTGTCTTACTTAAGAACACGGCACAGAAAAGAGACAGTAACTTTATTTCTTTCCTACTAATGCCTCTTAGTAGGCTTCAATATAATTTCTGAATTGCTTTCGTGATCTACATAGGTATGTCATTTTCGTCTTATGAGTCCATTCGTTCGTTCATTGAGTTAGCACGGATAGCACGGCTATCCATCAATAAACTCCCTTACCATAATTGATAATAAAGCTTTTTAATGAAATAATTTTAATTAACAATTTACGATTAATAGGATTTAGATATTAATTAGAAATTTTTGCAAGAATGCTTATTGGATTAATCCAAAGGTTCAAAATTTAACCTTCGTAAGAAGAAGAGAGGAAAAAAAAAAAAAAAAACTGCTTTGAGTAATTGGTTGCTAAGACGCAGCATAAAGCTGATAGAGTTCTTCCTGTGTTTCTTCTAATGCTGCTCTCGCATTTATTCTATCCGTGAATGTGTTTGTTTGCTTCTTTTTTTTTTTTGATTTTGATAAATAAACACTTTCAAGTGCCAGAAAATGTAAACGTGATAATAGTATTCCGCGTTTGTGTCTGTGTACCTAGTTGAACTCTTGTTTATTTTTAGTGATTGACATTGAAACAATTGTTTGTGAGCAGACAACTTAAAGCACAGTTATTGAAATACCTGAGCACTGTTAAATGAATGAAAAGGCGCCGACTTTTGGATACCTCTCGTAACAGCTCATAATATGAAAAACATTCATTGCTTTCGCAGAGAAACGAGAGTAAGTAACTTTGCCTTAATTTCAAATCAATAATTGTTATAAATGTAAGCCCTAAGGTCTTGGGTTCCTCCTCTAGGTTTTTTGTTCCGGGATAGATAGACAAATGAATCGATAGCCAAAGCTTCGCTTATTTCTCCTTTTGTGTACTTTTAGTTGCTTAACTGAGTTAACTATTAAAAATGTTACTAAAAACAATGTCAGCCTACGTAGGCCAATGTACGATATTTTCGGTCGTTGTTTCAGTTGTCGTTCTTTTCCGCTTATTTATTACTAATTTTGTATAGAAAATGAAACAAAGGTATATGAAAAAATTGTCTACGCAGCGATCACCAAATGTTAAGCAATAAAAAGTTTTCGTTAGTTTTATGTACGAGTTGTTGTATGAAAAGTTATGGTTTTACAATGCAAATAAATTCAATAAAATAATTATATATGCCCTCCGAGGACACGACGGAGAAAGGTGAAATTAACAAAAAAATATATATATATATATAAATAAATAAATAATAAACCGTAAGATTAGTAAATAAGTGATGTGAAAAGTAATAGAGATAAGACTCATGGACTGAGCGTCTAGTTTAATGATTCAATGCTGCTTTTTGTAAAGAATAATTTAATTTCATGTCGTTACGGTCTTGACTAATAATAAGCTAGACAGACGAACTTCTTTAGGAAAATATAGTACTACAATTTCTTGAGTCTTGCATTGCTCCCTTAAAGATGTAATCTTGCTCGCGTAGTGTAAGCCAAGTCAAAAAAATTAAATTAAATGAATGGAGCGCGTACTTAAGAAAGAAAGTACTTAGTTTCTCTTGCTGGTACACCGAAGGTAGAAGTAAAATACACTACTACAAATTCAAAAATGCTTGCTATTAACTTGCGAAGGAATTCAGCACTTTTTCTTAAGAGGGGAAGAACTGTCCAAACTTAATAAATAATCTTTTCATAAACACTGGGGGGTTTTTGGGGCACTTCTACTTACACCTGAAAAAATAACTTCTTCTCTTGTTGTAGAGATTTTAAAATTTCTATTCTTAGTCAAGTGTGTTAGCAGCTCAAACGCTTATGGATAATCATTTCAGGTCTGAGAGAAAATTATAAAAAAACAAAAATGAAAATAAACAGCTTTTTGATCCGCACATTCAATTGTTCGATAGTGATCCGCATTTTCAGGCATTGGCAGAAAAAACATTTTATATCGCACGAGAAAGCAGAAAATTACAGTTAACCACTTAAAAGTGTAATTGTGATTCGCGAAAAGCAACGAAACTGTGGGTGTCAGGTTTGGGGTCTA